ACCCGGCAACCAGTGTTTCCTCTAAGCTGAGTCGGTGTCAGGTAGCTCACAGCTTTTTTGCCTCTGGCTCACACATTTTCGTCTCAGCTGAGGAAGGAGGGCTCCAGAGCAAACTAATTGATGCAGTAGCCAAATCACTCGCTCACAGCTTTCATGCCAGCAGCTCCCAAAGTGGAATTTTTGCTCACTGGACTCCACAGCTTAAGCCCCGCCCCCCTCAGGCTCTGCCCCCAAAATATTCAGGTATTTCCCAACCAGGAGCTGGCAAACCCTGGCTACAAGAGGAAACGATTTGCCTGCCTCTTCCTCTCCCAGGCTTTAGGTCTTGGAACAGGAAGTAGTGCTACGTATTTATGTTTATTAGCCACCTGGCCTCCTTAGGGAGCTCAGGGTGGCTTATGAGCATACATAGAACACATCGAATAAAAACACATTAAAGACAGAAAGCTAGAGTTGAAAACCAGTATTCAGTGCCTAAGCTTAACGAAATGCGGTCCTGAATAAAACCCGTCTTCAGGTGCCTCCTAAAGATCAAACTGTGAGTGAGCCAAGGGTGACTGAACTGTTCCCTCTAAGCTGTGGAGTCTTGTGAGCAAAAATTCTACTTTCTGAGCTACTGGCATTAAAAGTTGTGAGCGAGCGATTGGGCTAACTGCAGAAATTGGTTTGCCCTGGAGCCATCCTTCCTGGGCGGAGACAACAATGTGTGAGCCGGAGGCTAAAAAGCTGTGAGGGAACACTGGTGACTGTAGGACCATATTTAAGTAAAACAATCGGTGAACTTCACTGTAAGGTTCCTATCTGTATCACACTTAAAATAAATTCCATTATATATTGGTCACAGTGAATTTCTTAAACAAAGCTGCTTTCTGAAGGCGTACAGTCCGACGTTTGATGAGGCACCCAGGGTATCCCTAAAAATTAGACAATCTGCTTTGGGGTCAGGAAGGAATTTTCCTCCCAGCTGGATTAGCCCAGGGATCACAGAGATTTTCCCCCCTGCCTCTGGACATAGAGCAGGGGTCAGCGTTCCCTCTAAGCTGAGTCAGTGTGAGCTAGCTCACAGTTTTTTTAGCCTCCAGCTCACGCATTTTTGTCTTAGCTCAGGAAGGAGGGCTCCAGAGCAAACTAATTGATGCAGCAGCCGAATCGCTGGCTCACAACTTGAATGCCAGTAGCTCACAAAGTAGAATTTTTGCTCACAGGACTCCATGGCTTGGCAACCTCATATATGTGTGTGCGCGCAACCTCTGAAAGTCATGGCAACATCTGGTGACCAGTGTTCCCTCTAAGCTGAGTTAGTGTGAGCTAGCTCACAGTTTTTATAGCCTCCAGCTCACACATTTTTGTCTTAGCTCAGGAAGGATGGCTCCAGAGCAAACTGATTCATGCGGTAGCTAAACTGCTCGCTCACAACTTTAATGACAGTTGCTCACAAAGTAGAATTTTTGCTCACAAGACTCCACAGCTTAGAGGGAACATTGGCAGGGGTCTCTGGGGGAGGAGTGTGAGAGGTACCTGTGGACTTCCTGCATTGTGCAGGGGGTTGGACTTGATGACCCTCTGTGTTTCTAAGAGGAAGGGCTGATTGGGGCTCGAATGCAGTTAGAGTATTTCTACCCTGTAGGCTTAGAATGAACGTTGTATCGGTTTAGTTGTCATGTCTTTCCCAAAGGGACTCTGTGATTTTTGCCATTGTGGGGAAAACAGAAGTGGGTACAGTTCTTCCACAAAACTGGAGTTTTCTGGGTCCTCTAGAGGGGGAAGTCTTTTCACTTAATACCAACTTAAAAACCGAACTTGAAGGGCATGTCTTTGAGATCTTGGGGTACCGTAAACATCTTTGGTATCTAGTTCCCTCGTTTGGTAAAGGAGTGTTCATTTGGTCCAGTTAGGAGTACCTGATGTTACTTTAAATTTAAGGTGACACTTGACATTTCAATACGATATGTATTTTAGAAGGTTGCTGTTAACTTCCAAGGTATTATGCAATGCCCTGTCGATGCTTTTCCTCTAGTATGGTTGGGATCACTCGGGCCACAAAAGGAAGCGGCTCCCCCCGGTTAAAAGGTCCCTGGTGTGCTACCTGAAAGGAAGAGAGGTGCGGATGCAGAATGAGTCCAGCTACCACCGACTCCTGCACGGGTACGCCGCCCAGCAGCTGCCCAGTCTCCTGAAGGAACGGGAATTTCACCTTGGGACCCTGAACAAAGTCTTTGCCTCTCAGTGGCTGAATCACCGGCAAGTGGTGTGCGGGACAAAATGCAACACAGTAAGTATGGGGGGTGTCTCTCTGATTTCCTTGGTTGTTTCCCCTCTGTGTATTAGAAGAAGAAAAGATTGGATTTATATCCCGCCCTTTACTACCCAGAGGAGTCTCAGAGTGGCTTACAAACTCCTTCCCCTGTGGTAGGTGGGGCTGAGAGAGCTCTGACAGAAACTGCTCTTTTTCAAGGACAGTTCTCATCAGAACTGTGGCTTGCCCAAGGTCATCCAGCAGGTGCAAGTGGAGGAGTGAGGAATCAAACCCGGTCCTCCCAGATTAGAGTCCGCACACTTAACCACTTCACCAAACTGGCAGTAAGCACCACAGTACGTTAGCAAGAAACAGGCAAGTAAGGCAGAGATTCCAGTTGAAATCTCATTGCCTGTATTTTTGGGCAGTAGGTCACATATTTCATAGAATCCTTGAATCACAGAGTTGGAAAGCACCATACAGGACATCTACTCCAACCCCCTGCTGAATGATCAGCCAAGAACATCTCTGACAAGTTTTTGTGTAGCCGCTGCTTGAAGACTGCCAGGGAGGGGGAGCTCACCACCTCCCTATGCAGCCGATTCCACTCTTGCACAACTCTGACTGTCAAAACGTTTGTATTTCGTGTTTCTCAGCTGGTACCGGCTCCTAAGGCCAGTTTGGTGTAGTGGTGAAGTGCGCGGACTCCAATCTGGGAGAACCAGGTTTGATTCCCCACTCCTCCACTTGCACCTGCTGGATGACCTTGGGCAAGCTGTAGTTCTGACAAGAGCTGTCCTTGAAAAAAGAGCAGTTTCTGTCAGAGCTCTCTCTGCCCCACCTGCCTCCCAGGGTGTCTGTTGTGGGGAGGGGAATGGAAAGGAGTTTGTAAGCTGCTCTGAGACTCCTTCGGGTAGTGAAGGGCGGGGTATAAATCCAGTCTCCTCCTCTTCTTCTTCTTCTAAGGTAGTTTATTAAATCACAGGATATCCTATACAATTTTTTTATCACAATAAATTGCATAAATATTTTTTTCCCAGATGTATGCAGAACAAAAAAACCTTATTTCAGTATGTGTGATACACACCATATATTTTCTATGCTGCCCTGGGAGCAAAATGTGGGGAAATGGGGCATAAATTTCATAATTACATATTAGGATTAAGTGCAGTCGCAGTTGAGTTTCTGTCCGGTTGGACATGTGTGGTTTCAGCTGCCTTTGAGGAGAGTCCATAGCTGGTGGGCAGAACATCTGCCTCTGTCGCTCTGTCCCACGCTGAACGTCCTTGCTTTGGTCCCTAGCAGCTCCATTTTAAAAGATCTCCATTTAGCGAGACTGCCTAAGAACTCTCACAGAGGGCCCCCATTTTTTTTGACATGCTATTGAGCTAGATCAGGGGTCCCCCAGTGCGGTGCCTGCAGACATCTTTCCTTGCACTCGCCAAGTGCTTTTATAAGCAGACTCAAGGATCCATAGGTAAGCCACAGCAGTCGTTTAGTGACTGTGCCCATCTTGCTGTGTCAGAATTCCAGAGGTGTCCAGAGGTTAAAAAAGGTTGGGGATCCCTGCATTAGACTACGCTGCCCTTTTAATGTATGGAAGGTGCTTAGGAACATGAGAACATAAGAGAAGCAAATGTTGGATCAGGCCAGTGGCCCATCCAGTCCAACACTCTGTCTCACACAGTGGCCAAAAATATCAGGTGCCATCAGGAGGTCCAGCAGTGGGGCCAGGACACTAGAAGCCCTCCCACTGTTGCCCCCCCCCCAAGCACCAAGAATACAGAGCATCACTTGCCCCAGACTGAGAGCTCCTATCTATACCTTTGGCTAATAGCCACTGATGGACCTCTGCATAAGAGGTGTGTTGTGGAAACAGGGTGGTGGGAACCCTTGAAGTAAATGGCTCAGTGGTGTAAGCCGGATTCGTATGCGTCAGCGTAGCGGTGCATTTTTAGATACATACAGCACACCTTTGTGTCACTTTCTGACAAGGTTGTGTTTACTGCTGTGGGAGCTGTTGTGTTCAAAATAGAGTCGCTTGAAAAAAAGATGTCTTGAAGCGAACACTTTTAAGTACACGTTCTGTCAGTCTTATGTTCGTTTTATACGTCCTAGTTTCTTCAGAGCACTTAGTTATTGGGTCGCCGGGCACTTTTGGGTTTAATGCTGGATGACATGACGGTGGGGGAGAGAGAGAGAGAGAGAAGTGTGGCAAATCCTTAGTTGTCAGCGTAGCGGTGCATTTTTAGATACATACAGCACACCTTTGTGTCACTTTCTGACAAGGTTGTGTTTACTGCTGTGGGAGCTGTTGTGTTCAAAATAGAGTCGCTTGAAAAAAAGATGTCTTGAAGCGAACACTTTTAAGTACACGTTCTGTCAGTCTTATGTTCGTTTTATACGTCCTAGTTTCTTCACAGCACTTAGTTATTGGGTCGCCAGGCACTTTTGGGTTTAATGTTGGATGACATGATGGTGGGGGAGAGAGACAGAGAAGTGTGGCAAATCCTTAGTTTCCAGTTCCATATTGATTCTAAATTAAACGGTGGTGGAATATCCTGACAGAACGCTGGAACAGGCTGATGAAGAAAAGAACGCAGAATCAGTATCAGGAACGCTGAGTTCATTGTTGCGTCCAGATTGGCTTCAGTGGGTATGTGCCTGGTGCTGGGAGTTTTATAGAGGGGTGGAAATGGTACTCAGTGCCTGATTTAGGGCGACAACAGAAATTGCCGGAAGAGCCCTGCTGGATCAGACCAGTGAGGGTCCACCTAGTCCAGCATCCTGTCTCACACGGTGGCCAACTGGTTCCTCTGGATGACCAGCAACAGCGCAGAGAGGCTGAGGCCTTCCTCTGATATTGTTTCCTGGCTCTGGGATTCAGAGGATTAGTGCCTCTGAATGTGGAGGTTCTCCTCAGCCACCGTGGCTAGGAGCCCTTGATAGACTTCTCCATTAATAGTACCTCCTGGAACTGGGTGCCTGAGTGAAGCTAAAACAGCCATGTGCTTGATATCGTCCATGGATAGCAAGCGTGTAACATCCCAAGTGGATAGCAGATGTGTAACAGCTGGAAGAGGGGAGGCCCTGCTTCTTGGGGAAGGGCAGCATCTGAGGCATTAGAGGTCCATCCTGCAGGACCTTAAGCTGTGTGTGTTTCGCTGGATCTTGCAAAGGGCTTGTGTGAAGAAGGAATCAGCAGCAACTAAGGTATCTGGAGCAGAGGCCCCCAATGATTTTGAGGCTCTGGGATTTTCAGAGGGGGTGGTGAGCGCCACCCCAAGGTGGCTTCCGTGGGAGGTGGAACCAAACCCCCAATGACGGCCTGAGGATGCTGAACTAGATGAACCACTGGTCATCGTACGTTCTTATGTTCATTTTACCCTTCCCGCTGCCACAATGGATTTGTTTTCGGATTTTAATTATTTCAGCTCATTTTTATTGTAAGCTGCCATGGGAACTGTTGTGGCTAAAAGTCGGTCTGTAAATATATCTCCGTCCAGCGTTTCAAGTTATTGGTGCTAAGCTCCCTCTAAGCTGTGGAGTCCTGTGAGCAAAAATCCTACCTTGTGAGCTACTGGCATTAAAGTTGCGAGCGAGCGATTTGGCTCCTGCATGAATTAGCTTGCTCTGGAGCCATCCTTCCTGAGCTAAGATGAAAATGTGTGAGCCGGAGGCTAAAAAACTGTGAGCTAGATCACACTCACTCAGCTTAGAGGGAACACTGGTGCTAAGTAAGAATAGTAGAGGCAGTAGTACAAGGGGAAAAGGGTAGGTCAAGGAACCACAGGTTGCTGTGTTAAAACGCGACCCATCAAAATACTAAACGTTTTGCCATGGACAGAGGGAACTGTGTGGAGTAGTGTAACAACAAAGGAAAGATGCCAATAAAAGGTATTTGTTGTTGTTGTTGTAACAACAAAGGAAAGATAAGAAAGGCAGGCAGATATTAATCTAACTTAATTGTATTTGTAGAAAAGAGCAAGTCCGGGAGCACCTGAAAGACTCACAAAATCTGTGGCGGGATGAGCTTTTGTGAGTCACTGCTCACTTCTTCAGATATCTGAAACAGTGACCAGTGTTCCTTTATTTATTTATTTATTATTAACATTTTCCTCCCCGCAAACGGGCTCAGGGCAGCTTACACGAGAGCACAAGCCCATACATAAAAACAGTATAAAACATTAA